GTCTGTGTGTGTGTGTGTGTGTGTGTATATATGCAAAATATGTACAATTTAAAAACACATGTTCACAAATATATATTTTTTAAAATGTATATATAATTCGCACAAATATTTGACATTTATAGATTTTTTTTTTACACGAGTATACAATTTTTATTTTATTTTATTAAAGTTTTATAAGTTGATTGTATAATATATAATTACATAAAAAATAAATAACAATACTTATGTGTCTATGGAGTCTATACACACACACACACACACGTGCGCGCATATATGTATGTATGCATGTGTGTGTATTTTATTATTTTTATGTAAATTATATATTATTATATAATCAACTTTAAAAAAGAATAAAAATGTTATACTCATGTAAAAAAAAAAAAGATATATATATGTAAAATAATTACATTAATCATATTTATATATATATATATATGTGTGAACATGTATTTTTTAAATTGTACATATTTTGAATATATATATATATATTTAATACAATTATATATTAAAAATTTATAAATAAAGATATAGGTTTTGTACATGAGTATAACATTTTTATTAAAGTTGATTATATAATTTACATAAATAAAAACAATACATTTGCATCTATCTAATATAATACATTTATATATAGAGAAATTATATATAAATTATAAATTAATTTTATTATATATTTTTTTAAATATATAATTGTATTAAATATATACATCTGTGTGTGTGTGTGTATATATATATATGCAAAATATGTACAATTTAAAAATACATGTTCACAAATGTATATATAAAATATATATGTAATTCCCGTAAATATTTTACATATATTTATAGATTTTGTTACACGCGTGTAAAATATTATTTTTTATTAAAGTTGATTGTATAATTTTTAATATATAATTTACATAAAAATAAATAAAAACAATACTTTTGCATCTATCTATCTATTGATCTATTGAGTCTATATATACATACACACACACATATATATATATATATATATGTATACATTTATATATGTGTGTGTGTTTTCTTATTTTTATTTTTAATGTAGATATATTAAAAGTCATCAGTGTTCCAAAAATCATAGTGATTTAACCTAACGATTTGTTGCATCTTGACGTCTTAAAATGCAGTTCAGCTGATACTGACACATAGCTTTTAGAGCTGGAAAATATGTACAATTTAAAAATACATGTTCACAAATGTATATATAAAATATATATGTAATTCCCGTAAATATTTTACATATATTTATAGATTTTGTTACACGCGTGTAAAATATTATTTTTTATTAAAGTTGATTGTATAATTTTTAATATATAATTTACATAAAAATAAATAAAAACAATACTTTTGCATCTATCTATTGATCTATTGAGTCTATATATACATACACACACACATATATATATATATATATGTATACATTTATATATGTGTGTGTGTGTGTTTTCTTATTTTTATTTTTAAAATAGATATATTAAAAGTCATCAGTGTTCCAAAAATCATAGTGATTTAACCTAACGATTTGTTGCATCTTGACGTCTTAAAATGCAGTTCAGCTGATACTGACACATAGCTTTTAGAGCTGGAACTGTTGAGTAAATCCTCTTATTCTCTTCCTCTTCAGGAGTATCGGCTCGCTCGCGGGAACCTCAGCCTGGCGGTCTCAGTCTGGAGAAGCCTCGTTATTCCCACACGCTGGAGCTGAAGCGAGAAGATCCCGTCACATGCTCCGCAGAGGAAGAGGAAGAGGAGCTCAGCGGCCTGGAGTTTGAGATGAAGATCGAGCAGGTGGAGGAGAGCCAAAACCGCCGCGACGATGGAAACTCTCATCCGTGGAGTTCGAAGGCGCTTGACGATCCGGAGGTCCGTCTGATAGAGTCGGAACAGCATTCCCAGACTTTTCCAGATCCGTATGAGATGACGCAGGACCCGACGGCTCAGTCTGCATCCGGTCTGTTCTCATTCTCTCAGAACGAGAGCTTCGGCGCTTCCGAGTGCGGGTCGGATCCTCATTCGAGCTCCGGTCTGGCCAAAACACATCCGCAGCCTAAACCGTTCCGCTGCGAGGAGTGCGGGAAGGGCTTCACGCAGCGGACGCGTCTGATCACGCACAGACGAGTGCACACAGGCGAGAAACCCTTCTGCTGTCAGCTGTGCGGGAAAACCTTCTCCAGACAGGACAACTGTCTCCGACACGTGCGTCTGCACAGCGGACCGAGATGAAGAACGCCGCTCCAAGCGCTTTTATCATGCCTCGAAGTCAGATTTCTGCATATTGTAACTGTCCTGTAAATGTATTTTGCATTACGGTGTGTTTGACACATTAAGCAATAAAGAATCCGTGGTTTACAGTGAATTTATAACAGCTGGGGTGTGCCTACAACGGCCCTTAGCTGTTATAAATTCACTGTAAACCACGGTTTCACGGGGGTTACTGCTTTTATAAAACGGTTATTCCATATACGTAGTAAGGTTTCACTAAATAAAACGGAGCAAATAAAGTGTAATGATATTAATAAACACAGTATTCTTCCACCAAACAATGTAGCTCCTCAGAAACAGTTGTGGTTGCTACAAAGTGGTTGCCGAGCAACACACAGAAGTTAACAAAGGTGTTACATTCTTTGAACGCGGCTCAGCCAATCAGAATCAAGCACCGGAACTCTCCGTTTTATAATAAACCATAAAACATCTTTCCTTACTTAAAGGGATAGTTCACCCAAAAATGAAAGTGTGATGTGTATCTGCTTTCCCCCCGCAGGGCATCCAAGATGTAGGGGACTTTGTTTCTTCAGTAGAACACATTTGATGATTTTTGTTGATGTTGATATCCAGCCGAAGAGCAATCAGAGAGATCACTTCGGCACTTGTGTAAACTACGGCAGAGCGCGTACACACCTCACGCACCGGATGCCGTGCGCGCGCTCAAAGCAGTTGGACATAGTGCTGTATTAGAGGTAAAAACTTATATAAATACTGTTGGGTTTCTGGCACAAACTGATCGTTTCGTGTGTTAGGACATCAATGTGTCGTCACAAGCCGCAGGGTATAATTTGGATTTGTCTGTACATGTTTTTTTTACTCTCAAAGATTTTGTTACCATTGCCATGCATTATACGACTGATAGACTACAACAGTTAAAGTTAAACATCATCAAATGTGTTCTACTGAAGAAACAAAGTCACCTACATCTCGGATGCCCTGCAGGGGGTAAGCAGATAAACATCACATTTTCATTTCTGGGTGAACTATCCCTTTAAAATAAATAAAGGTTTAACTGAAATAAAAAAAAATCTTTCCATCCAAGGTAAGGGCTACTATCATTAACTAAAACTTAAACCATTAAATACATATATGTGTGTATATGTATATAGAGAATATATATACTGCTGTTCAAAAGTTTGGGATCATGTGTTTTAAAGAAGTCTCTTCTGCTCACCTAAGCTGCATTTATTTGATCAGAAATACTATTAAAACAGTAATATTGTGAACTATTATTTGTATTCAAAATATCTGTTTTCTATGTGAATCAATGTTAAAATGTAATTTATTTCTGTGATCAAATCTGTATTTTTAGCATCATTCCTCCAGTCTTCAGTGTCACATGATCTTCATAAATAATTCTAACATGCTGATTTGCTGCTCAAGAGACATTTCTGATTATTATCAATGTTGTGCTGCCAAATATATTTTGCGGAAAGCGTGATACATTTTATTTTTCAGGATTCACAGATGAATAGAAAGCTCAAAAGAACAGCATTTATTTGAAACAGAAATCTTTTGTGACATTATACATCAGTGTATTTACTGTCACTTTTGATCTATTTAGCACATGCTTGCTTAATAAAATTATTAATTTATTTTTAAAAAGAGCAGTAGCATACATTATGTACTATATAATGTGTTTCCGGCACAGTTGAGAGGAGAAGAGCGCAGAAGAGGATGAGATGAGAGGACAATCACACACACATCAGTACACTGTCAGGTAATACTGTATGTGATTCACTCTCTGATCCACAGACATGACACTCGCTGAACAACCACTGGAACAGTGTGTGTGTGTGTGTGTGTGTTGCATTGTGTCTCATGGCAGTTTCAATCACAGAAACGCTTCAGGAACTTAGTGCCAACATGAAACTGTTTTTAACTTTGTACTATGAAGTATTTCATCAGAATATTCAATGAGAATAAATATAAGATGGGAATTTTTTTCACCTTGTTTTTAAACAAATAAGGATGTTCCTGTATGGCCATGAAGTGTGGTTTTGTCAGTTTCAGCACTGTTTGGTACAACATCACAAGACACACACATACAGGTGTGTTTGCTTCATGTTTAGTTGATTGAATCTATCATATTCATGGAGAATTCTGATGATTTTTCTGAAAAAAATTGAAAACACATCTCAGTCATGAAGCGCACATGGTTAGTTTCCTCAAATTCACTGACAGAACAACTGACAGACGTGTGTGTTACACAGAATACAGCGCTCAACTCACTGCTGGACACACACACACACACACACACACACACACACGAGGTAAAAACTTATATAAATACTGTTGGGTTTCTGGCACAAACTGATCGTTTCGTGTGTTAGGACATCAATGTGTCGTCACAAGCCGCAGGGTTTAATTTGGATTTGTCTGTGCATGTTTTTTTTACTCTCAAAGATTTTGTTACCATTGCCATGCATTATACGACTGATAGACTACAACAGTTAAAGTTAAACATCATCAAATGTGTTCTACTGAAGAAACAAAGTCACCTACATCTCGGATGCCCTGCAGGGGGTAAGCAGATAAACATCACATTTTCATTTCTGGGTGAACTATCCCTTTAAAATAAATAAAGGTTTAACTGAAATAAAAAAAAATCTTTCCATCCAAGGTAAGGGCTACTATCATTAACTAAAACTTAAACCATTAAATACATATATGTGTGTATATGTATATAGAGAATATATATACTGCTGTTCAAAAGTTTGGGATCATGTGTTTTAAAGAAGTCTCTTCTGCTCACCTAAGCTGCATTTATTTGATCAGAAATACTATTACAATTTAAAACAGCTGTTTTCTAAGTGAATATGTGTTAAACTGTAATGTATTTCTGTGATGCACAGCTGTATTTTCAGCATCATTCCTCCAGTCTTCAGTGTCACATGATCTTCAGAAATCAGTAGAATATTCTAATTTATTATCAGTGTTTAATATTTCTTGAAACCTGTGATACTTTTTCCAGGATTCTTTGATGAATACAGTTAAAAAGAACAGCATTTATTTAAAATAGAAATATTTTCTAACAATATAAATCTTTATTAGCAATTTGTATCAATGTAACACATCCTTGCTGAATAAAAGCATAAATTTCTTTTTAAAAAACAAATTACTGACTCCTAACTTTTGAACGGTAGTGTATATCATTGTTACAAAATATTTCTATTTTGAATAAATACTGTTATTTTTTACTTTTTATTCATCAAAGAATCCTGAAAAAAGTATCACATGGTCCAAAAAAAAAAATTTGGAGCACAACTGTAATAAATCAGAATTTAAGAATGATTTCTGTGACACTGAAGACTGGAGTAATGATGCTGAAAATACAGCTTTAATCACAGAAATAAATTATACTTTAACAGATATTCACACAGAAAATTGTTATTTTAAATTGTAATAATATTTCACAATTCTTACTGTATTTCTGATCAAATAAATGCAGCTTAGGTGAGCAGAAGACACTTCTTTAAAACGCATTACAAATCTTACTGATCTATTATATACTATTTAATTGCTTACATGCATGTGTATTGGGCCTGATGCTGAAATCTGTTTTTTTATCACTATAATGGGATTTTCACACTTGAAATTGTTGACCAAATGTGTTCACGCAATCCTTGTACCATGTTCCTGGTCTGAATTAACCCTGGGTCTTCAGGATTTGATTCGTAAGCCCCGAGTTAATATGCATATTTTTATATTTATGAGGCTAATAGCATGATGCGATGAGCTTGTTTTAATAACTGCTCGTCCATTTGGTTCGTCTGAAGCGTCTCTTCTTTACTCCAGTTAACACAGTTGCACCGTTTTAGTGGTTTCCCTCAGATGCACATCACAGTTTCTGTGACTGCACAGAGGTCATGAATATTTAATGAGGTAAGTGCTGTCGAGTTCGTGATTGGTTGTTTAAAGTGGTTTCAAATTGCAGAAGCTTTGCTTTAGCCAGGGATAAAAAGTGGCCCAAGTTTTACTAAAGCTGTTAACCCAGGGTTCATAAACAATATGAATACTATGTTCTTTAATGTCAACCCTGTATTGATGAATTTGACTTCTTGTATGTCATTTCTAGTGCTGTTTATATTTTAATGTTATTTCAGTAAGTCTGACATTTATTTTGTTTCTCATTAAACACTCATATATTCAGATTGACTTGTCTTTGCTGACCTCTCTGTCTTAATGTAAGAAAAATACATGATATATATTTAATTATTCATTTGAATACCAAGTTATTACTATTTTATAATATAATTTCTCATTTATTTTTATGAACCAAAGCAGAGACGTTGAACACAATGATCTGATTTCAGTGGCAGAATGTTTCTGTTTTTGTTTTAATAACCAAGAGCACTTTTTTCTTATTTATTTATCTTCCTAAAACATTTTTTACAGGTTCAAGTTAATGGTTTTTAACCGTCTGAGTTGTTTATTGGCTTTATTGTTAAGAACAAAAGATGAGAAATTGATTTGATCAAGCGGTTTTTAATGGCTAAATGTTTTCTTCTTTTTTTTTAATAATCAACCAGCATTAAGTCAGATATTTTTCTTATATATTTTTCTTCCTAAAACAGTATTTTACAGTTATTTAATCAGTTGTTTGGTGGATTTAAACCGTTTTCAGCTTTTTTTTATACAACAAGCAATAAGCAATGAATATTTTTTATGTAATATAATAAATTAATTAATAATATTTTTTGTATTTTGTTTTAATTGTCCGAGTTGTTTGGTGGCTTTATGAACAAAAGCTGAGAAGTTGAACACAAAGATCTGATTAAACTGTTTTCAGCTGCAAATTTTTTTTATTAATAACATCCCACCAGCAATAAAACAACATTTTCCTATTTATTTCTCCTCCTAACACTGTTTTTTACAGGTTCAAGTGATTTAATTGTCCGATTTGTTTAGTGGATTTATTTTTATGAACAAAAGCTGAGAAGTTGAACGTAACGATCTGATCAAATGCTGTCTTTTTTTCTTATTTATTTCTCTAAAACAGTGTATTAATGATATTTCATGGTCTCAGTTTTATTAGAAGATATTTCACGACAGATAGAGCGTCTCCGAGCTTCTCGAGCTGGACCGCGTGACGGACCGT